TCTCTCTCACTGCTCTGTCAATAAAGGCACAAAGGCCAAAAAAAAACTTTAAAATAAAAAAAAAAAAAATCATAGTATAGTATGTCATCAAAAATGTCAAAAACAGGTTATAGTATAGTATGTGGTCCAACATGTATTCAAAAAATGTCAAACAAAAAGTATAGAATGTCACTAAAAACTTTGTGATATAGTTTGTCGTCAAAACTGTCACAAAACGTCATAGTACACTGTTGTTACAAATGTCACTGTGGTATGTTGTAAAGTGTCTTTGACATCACAGTCATAAAATGTTGTAGTTACATCACAAACATAGTTTATCTTGGAAAATGTACTTATAGTCACATGAGAAGTTCTCTAAATGGTCCTAATATAGTATGTCGTAAAAAGTCATCCTATAACATGTCATTGAGGTCGTCCAAGCATGTAAATGTGATAGTTTTGTATGTCTTTAAAAGTGTAGCAGGATGTGTTGTCGTACCACCAGCATGGTTTGACATAATACCTGCCACACATGAGACTGAAAGATTTCAGGACACTGTCACAGCCAGACTTGTTTACATGAGACTTTATTGATAAGTGCTACATGTTGTGGTTTGATCGGTGAGGATCGCGGAGTTTACTCGTAGAGGAAGGGCTGGGCGCAGGGAGTCCAGGCCACGAACTCCTCAGGCTTGAACCACAGCTCGACCTCCCTCTTGGCGTTCTCCAGGGTGTCGCTGCCGTGGATGATGTTCCTGATGAAAGAGAGAGCTGGTCAGTGAGTTCTTGGAGCTGTTACTGAGTTATGAATCCTGGTGCTGAAACAAAGCCAGCTGGACCTGCTTGAGTTTGCTGTTAGCTCTTGTGGGGTCTCTGAGCTGTCAGGACGGCACTATGTGTGTCTGATAAGTCATCAAACGCCTCCTCACTGCATTGCACTTTGTTCACTACACTGCCCTGCTGATTCCTGGGTGTCTGGTGAAGATAGGGTTGCCTTATCAGAACCCGACACCATCAGGTCAGAAAGAGGAGATACTCGGGTATTTCAGTTCTCAGACTGTGATGGGTGTGTGTGGACAGATTTCAGGCCGACATATAGAAGCCTCATCTTCAAGGGCCAAAAAGAGACAACCAGTTGCTTTACACTGATGCTCTTAGATGAACTATTAAGCATTTCAGTAAACACGCCTGTTTCTGGGACTTTGTAGTTCTGGGATTAGATCGGTGCCAATATTAATCGATAACATCTGAGGTTTTGGGGGAATCCTGAACTTTTAGTGACAGTGTTTTAGAACCGACTGTGGTTCGCTTACCTGCCGATGTTGATGCACAGGTCTCCACGGATGCTGCCGGGCTTGGAGTCAGCGGGGTTGGTCTCACCCAGCATCATCCTGACCAGCTTCACAATGTTCTGACCCTCCCACACCTGGAACACAGTGACACATCTGTAACACACCTGGAGCCTCGACAGGACCACGAGTCATGGAGTCCAAAACGTAAGTTATAACCGGTTTAAAAAAAAACAAGTAAAATCCTTGATCAAACTGTGGACATAACTAAAACTGTTTTTTTTCCTTTCAGGACTTTGTGTGAATTTAATTGTGTATGAAGTGTATCCAGCTATAAATCACTGGACACGAACTGCACAAGTCCAGTTCAAAGTGTCCTGTTCGTCCTCTACATGTGAGAAGGCTTAAAGTGTCTCTTTGTCATGTTGGAGGTGTGAGAGTCTCTGTGGACCAAAGCAGCTGAGAGACCTTGAAAACAAGAAGGTGTGAAGAGCGACAGAAGCCTGCTGCAGTGGAAAGAGATAAACAGAGAAAGATATCCGAGTGAGAGACGAGTGTTTGGATGTGTGTTTGTGGGAGGGTTACCATGGCGAGGACGGGTCCAGAGGACATGTACTTGCAGAGTCCACCGTAGAAGGGCATGTCCTTCAGGTCCAGGTAGTGCTGCTTCAGGTGGTCCTCGGACGCCTGAACACAAATCATTTCCTCAGTGTCTTTGTCTGATGTATAAAACACCAGCAGATGAATAATAAAAATGAGTCCCTTGCAACTTTAATCTATGGAGTTATTTGTGTTTCCGTTAAGAGCATTATGTTCTAAACTTCTGCAGCGCCCCCTGGTGTCTACAGTTTGTTCACACGTGAAACAAGTTGCCCATTGACCCAAACTGTATCACGCAAATGTAGCTGACCAGTTTTATAACAGAAATTATTGCTGGATAGGTCTTTGCTGAACATTCCTCTGTAATACAGAACAAATGTGTTTGCAGAAAATGAGTGTGATTTAGCCCTCACAGCTAGCGTCAAGAAGAGCTAACTACAAAGCTAAAGTTATAGACAGAGCTAACAGTGCAGTTAAAGTCATGGAAAGAGCTAATTACAAAGCTAAAGTTAAAGAAAGAAGCTAGCTACATGGCTAAAATTAAAGAAAGAAGCTAACTACACAGTAAAGGCTAAAAATAAAGAAGTTAACTACAATGCTAAATTTAAAGAAAAAAGCTAATTACAAAGCTAAAGTTCAAGAAAGAAGCTAAATACAATGTTAAAGCCAAAGAAAAAGCAAACTAAAAGCAAAAGTTAAAGAAAGAAGCTAACTATAAAGCTAAAGTTAAAGAAAGATGCTAACTACACAGCTAAAATTAAAGAAAAAAGCTAACTACAAAGCTAAATTT